AGCGCTCCCTAACCTGCCCCTCCTGCACATTTTCTGCCCGGCTCCTCTCTGGTTTTGGAGGCGCCTGCGTTCGAGGAAGAGCTACACGGGTGGAAGGCTGCTCATCTCTGAACTGAGGAACAATTCTGAAGAGACGTCTTTGTGAYTGAAAATTACCAGCTGATGGCAACAGCAGGCGAAACCTGCTGTGTTTATTGTGCTGCATCTTTGATGTGGGCCTATTTTGTCACATAAAAAAAATCACCCGTTACGTAATCCTGCCACTGCAGAGTTTGTCCGTTTTGTAGAGACGGTTTAGATAACCAGCACTTACCTTTGGGACATCCCGAGATGTACCCTGCCTTTCATCTCCAGCTGCCTCYCTAACAGGGAAGATCTGTAGATGTCACCCATAAAAGCAGATTAAATTGCACGGAGCAACGTTGTTCAGAGGTGGCCACACTAAATGTGCAAAGCCTGCCCTGCGTGGAGCAAGCTAGGGTGGCCAATAGCAACTGCTGAATAAGAGAAACCAACGCCAACGACTTCAGACTAAGACACGAGGAATGTACTGCAGCATCCGGGTGGTTGTTACTTTGCCCTTTTTCACCTCACAGAATTCTCAAAAACATACAAATGCTACTGACTGCTCATGTGATAGATGAGYCTTATACAACTTCACACAYGGAAAGAGGCACGAGTGGCTGAATGCTAAGGTCACAGTGTGATTTATTTGCAGGACCAGGGCAGTGCGCAAAAGCACGACTCCCAACCTAACCCTTAAGTACTTTCCTCCTTACAACACACACAAGTCAAATCTACCCAGTAGAAATGCCAAGGGAAATTCTCAATGGCACAACATATCATATAGAAATGGGCTAGTGCTGAAGATTTCAGAAGTCTCTTCTTTCAAAATAAAGTGATGGTTAGAGATGCTTACATACCATTTGTAGTTGAATTCTGAGCTTCACAGCTCAATTACAAACAGAACGCCTTGTAATAGCATGGAATATGAGGAATAATCCTTTCCCCAAACACTGGGAATCCTCCACAGTTCCAGGACTCGCAGTGACTGTGCATGTGGCAAGCASACCCAAGGCCTCGGTTAAGAGAGATTTAAGAAAGCAAGTAACTTCCTGGGGCACCAGGGCTGCTTGCTTTTTCTGCCTGGCTTATCTGCACAGGTCTCAGCAACAACCAGCTCAACACAAGAGACAAACATTGATATTTTGTATCTGTCGCTTGCTAAAATCTTATCTACACATTTTTTTCTTAACTGATACAGTTACYACCTTGCCCTTTCTTCTCTGATAAAAGACTAGAGTTAGAACTATTTTTTTTCCTCTCTTACAAACGGCTCTGGAAAAATTAATTACTAGAAAAATGTTAATCAAACCCAAATACACAATGCATCAGCACACTGTTTGGTTTGGTACAATACAGCCAACTACAACCATACTGTACTCTAGACAGTAATGCTGAATAGCTACTGCATTTATAAGGTTGTGTCCCCTACAGAAATATGGAAAATGAGCCCAAGGTCTAGAATTATGAAACCACCTCCTTATCTGCTCAAGATTTCCAGAGGAGAAATAAAACACATTACGTATGGTTCCCAGGACACAGAGCTATACAGGAAATAATTCTCTTCCAATGACTAAGCTCAATAATTTGCTTCAGTCACCTCAGAATTTTTAAATGGAGAAAGTCAAACAAATGTGAATGCAATTCAGAAGCAATAAAATAATCCACAAACATAGATAAAGGACACAGAAATACATTTCAAAACAGGGTTAACAGCACAGATTGCATTTACAGACTCCTGTTGGCACCTCATCTCTCACCAGATCTTTCCTAAAGGGCTCTCTTCATATTATCGAGACACAGCAGCTAAGTCAGGCTTAACTCCCAAAAGAGGGTGTTTTATGGTGCTCTACATGTGAACGAAGGTACCCAAACATAGCCCTGTCTCTCTCGCTCATAATTTGTAGCTATATATAGTCCTCAATTACTTGAAATTATCTTACAATTTCAGATCTAGTATCACCAGAGGCTATTAGCAGCTGATCTCATTTCAGATCAGTGGTAGTTTCCCCACGCGGAGTTCTGCGCTGCAGTTTTCGGGTGAAGGCAGGGGTGCGCAGGCAGGCGCCGAGGGCACAGGGGCTATGTTGGCAGGTACACGGCAGGCCGCAGGGACACGGCACAGGCCCCTACACCATCAGGGCCACTGACYGCGCACCGCACAGGGAGGGAGATAGCAACGACCCTAGCGGGGGCCGTGGCGCCGCCCGAGGAGCCGCAACGCGGCGGGGGACAATGGGGCACCAGGCCGCGGCCTCGCCCCGCGGCGCCGCCCGTAATGGCGGGCCCCGTGCCCCGCCGGTAACCATAGAAACTTCCAGAAGGGCCCGTCGGCCCGCCCGCGCAGCCGCACTACCGCGCGGCCCAGCCAATGGGCTCCCTCCGCCTGGCTCACGCTCTTCCGCGGATAGGTCCGCGACACTGGCGCCACGAGCCAATCAGGCGGCGCGAGGAGGGCGCGCCAGACGTGTCATTGCGCTCGCCCGCTTCCCGCCAATCGGGGAAGGCCAGCTTAGTAGCAGCCAGCCAATGGGGAGGCTCCAGCGGAGGCGCCGCTGCCAATGGCGAGCCTCCACGAAGGAGAAGCGGAGGGTATATAAGGGCGCGCGGCGCCGCGGAGCCTCAGCGGCAGTTGTGCGTGCGACGGTTGCGGTGAGTGGCGGCGGCGCGGGGAGGGGCCGGGCCGGGGGGGGCTGCCGGGGTCTGGGCGCGCACGTGGCGCCTCCATTTTGTGCTGGCGGCGCCTCCTCACCGCGGCTTCCCCGCAGGGCGGCGGCGACACGAGAGCGGGCGACATGAGGCGGCTCCTGCTGGCGCTRCTGGTGCTGGGCGCCGCGCGCGCCGACGATGAGGAGAAGAAGGAGGATGTGGGCACGGTGGTGGGCATCGACCTGGGCACCACCTA